CTCACCTATTATTTCTCCTTTTCCCATTCAGTCCAGTAGGAAGGTCATACTCTGGATGCAATCTGCTAAGAAGTCTTGGATGGTAGGGCCTTTTCTGTCATGGCACCCATCCTCTGGAATATCATCCCTCTGGAGAACAGATTGGTCCCATCTCTGTTGGCCTTTCAAAGGGTCCTGAGAATGTGGTTCTGTGCTTGAGCCTGAGACCCTAAATATGCTCAGGTCTCAGAGCTCAGGTCTTGTTTATGCTCAATGTTTCATCATCAGTTACATATTTTTTTCAGATACTGTTTTATATTTCTTGTATATGCTTTTTATCATTTTTAATATTGTCCTCTGTCTAAAGTCATGTATTTGAGATGGGCAGCTATCTAAATCTATTAAATAAAGTAATTAAAAAGAAAAGATTTATAATTTTGGTTTAGGATATTGTGTGAATCCAGCCACTGCAATTTCTAAACATTACTTATGGTTCATTATCTCAATAGATGGCAGCATTTCAGAAGCTAAGCAAGATGAGACTTGGTTAATATACGGTTGGAAGACTAGCAGACAATTCCAAGACTATAGGAAAGAAATAATAAAATATAACCCAGAAGAAGGCAATGACAAACTGCTTTCATATCACTGATAGGAAAACTGGATAGATGTGTGTCCATGCAATCATCAAGAGTCGAGTTTAACAATGATGTCTTTACTGTACGTATGTCTCAGTAGGATTTATGAATCTAGATAATTATAATTTGCTTAGCAAGCCATGGTTAGCTCAGTGGGAATATCCAATTTTTGGCTGCAACAGTACTCTTGATTTTACTGCAGTAAGTTTCTGAGCACAGAACGATACCTTCCTGAGAATAACCCGTACTGAGCTTACCAGACTATTACTGAAGAGGCTGCTATTTGGAAACTTGCTAACTTGCCAAATATTAAAACAGGACTACTTAGAAGAGTGAGCTAGAGTTAACTTGAAGACTACTTGAAGGAAAAGTGGGTACGAGAATTTAACAACTAGAATTAGAATTTGGGGATTAAAAAAAAATAAAACTCAAAAGCATATGAAGAATTTAATATCTATATCTAATCTCTATCGTTTATCTATCTATTTATCTGTCTGTCTGTCTGTCTGTCTGTCAAAATGATTTGAGTGAAATAAGAATAGCTGCAAACTATCAGGCAAAGGTACAGTACTGCCTACTGCATCCTTGACCCCACCTTTTCTTAATTTTTGTATGGTTGCCATTGTACATGAATACAATTATGAAATACAGTTCCCTATACCACACACACACACACACACACACACAGAGAGAGAGAGAGAGAGAGAGAGAGAGAGAGAGAGAGAGAGAGAGATTGAGAGAGAGAGAGAAGGTGGGGTTAAGAATGCAGTAGGTATACTGTACCTTTGCCTGATACTTTGATTCCTGCATTCTTGTAGCAGTCCATATCATTTCTTTGGCCAATGAGAAAAAGCTTTCACCCCCATAAAGTCTGTCTGTAACCAATTTGATGTGGAATACATATATATCACTAGGCTGCTAAAAAAATTCTCTAGATTGATAAGAAAATTTATTTTCCTTTCAGATTTGTAGGATTGCTAGTTTAATTTGAAGGTATCTTTTGTTTATTATTAGGTTAATTTTGCCTAAGGAAGAAAGTTGTTACCTTAGAAAATCACATGCATAATTTTAAAAAAATATTTGGGATGGTGGTCAATTATTAAGTCAACACATTTGTTTTGCAAAGCACATGTATACATTCACAACTCTATGATCCATGATCCTAACTTAAAGCTGATATGATTAAAGATACCATTTTATCTATGTTGTTCTTTTGTCAAATTATGTACATTTTATACACATTTGTTTAACGATGTCATTGTACCAATGTCAATGCTTGCTGCTCTTCCCACTGCTTTCTTTGAATTTTTTCTACAACATGGATTGTTCTAAATGTGGATGAAGTACTGACACAAGGATGTCAGAATGGTTTTCTAAAATACATCCATCCTTCTTTTCTTTTTTTTTAGAACATGAACCACATCACATTATAAATTATTTTTCTTTGAACATGTCAGTATACAAATACCACATCCAGGGAATGGAAAACTAGGTGCATACTACTGCAGCTTTGCTTGGGTATCCGCCAGGATACATTCAGAGAGAAGAGATATACATTCCATGGCTGGCTTTCTGAAAGCAGCTTCTCCTACAATATTCTAACTATAATTTGGGCCTTTAGCAGAACAGATCCATGGATAAATCCCACAGCTCATGAAAACTGCTAAACCATTTTAGTTTAAAATTTATATAGAAAATTATGTCTATGTACTTTAGCATGATTGTTTTGTTCCAATGGCAATTTGCCATTAAATATCTGCACACCACAAATGAAACTTTCTGAATAATATTGCAATCATTGCAAAGTATTTTTTAATCTAAGACTATTTAGAAAAAAAGGTATTCTCATTTTTTATTTCGCTAAAGAAAGAAGCATGCCTTTGTCTACACCCAACCTATTCCTAATTTAAAAAGAAAATGAATTTAAAAAATTGCATTTTTTCCTAGGGTATGTTTCTCTACAAGAAGGGAACAAGAGAAAGCTAAATACAACAGAAACAAATATTTCCAGATGCATCACTTCTGAATTGGATATACATTCCAGAAATATGAGAAAAGACCATTTTATGTTAGAAGGGGATAGGCAGCATACATAACATTTTGGATTATTAAAAAAAATATTAAAGCCATCCATGCGAGACAACTGATGTGCTACACCGCTGCTAGTGAAAAATTCTGCTGTCTAAAGGACCTAAATGAAGATGGTTAAGTTTCTTAGACCACACATTCTTATAAAATACATCTTGCCCAATCTGGGCTGAAGATGTCCTTAATAATATAAAATTAGCACAAGCAGAAGGAAGACTGGGGGAGAGTAATTGTTTTGTATTGTTTTCCCTGTACAACATACACTATCCACGAACTGTCTAGCTGCCTTTCAAACCTTCACAGCAATAGCAAGGAATTGGACTGAAATTTCACAATTTCTTCACAGCAATGAAAGGAATACTTGGCCCGCAGCCTACTAAACAATCCCGTCCATCCATAAATAAGGAAAGGTATGTGTGTGTGTGTTTCTTGAATATGTTGCTTCAGATGGACTTACATAGTCACAGAAGTCTGAAGAAGGAAAAATGGAATTTGAATCTTCAAACTGTTTTATCATGTTTTGCCTTTACTGGTTCGATCTCCTTCTAGACTGCTGTTGTATGTCTGCATCCAGGCACATAGGAATGTACATTTATACCCAGAAATTATGGGGGAGTAGCATTTCATTCCAAGCCAAATAATCAGTACGTTATTCTAATCACCATCACCAAAATACACCAGTCTCTGCCCACAAAAGAAGAAGGAGTAGATACTGCAGAATCTTCCTCATACAGTATGCAGAGAAAACACCGGCGCAAAGGGTAGTTGAGGTTGCCAGCTTTTCTTTTGATTTCTCTAGCACGGCAGTCTGTCTTAGTCAGACAAAAGCCCCACAAATGGTACTTGTAATCAAGATTTGAAAAGACTAGAACGTACAATTTCTTTACAAAAGAGGGTTTTGAAAAAAGAGAGTTCAACGAAAGTGACCCAACCCGTTCCGTTTCATGTGAAAAAATTGGCCTGTCATTAAATGGAGGGAAATAGAGAGAAAATTCCTATGCTTCTTATTCTAGAATGTCTTTTTTTTTTAAATCTGTACCGAAAAAAACAAATATTTAAAAAATATTCTTTGGACTTCTTTACCCTAAATTTGCTATATTTTAGGAAGAATTGTTTATTTCTAAATTTGATCTGGATGTAAAATATTTGCTATTATTTTGATTTATAACCAATATAAAATGTTCTTCATTAAAAGAGCACTTAAAATTATTTTTATACATTCTCTAAACTATAAATACATATTTTTTTCTGTTCTACTTTTTTTTTTAAAAAATAGTCTATTTCCACTGCTATTGTGGTTCCAGTTCAAGGCCCAAGAAAGTAAGAAGGCAATGATTAAGGCAGGGAAACGGGGAATGAAAATAGGGAACTCCAAAAAAAAAAAAAAAAAAGAGAGAGAAAAAGAGAGTGAGAGAGAGAGAGAGAGAGAAGGGGAAAGGAAAGAATAATAAAAATCTAAGGTTTATAAAATGGATACAAAAGATACTACCCAAGTCCTGACAACCATAACTCAGCAAAATTGAAACACCTACACCTTTGTGCATCAAAATTACAAGTTGACTTTTTCAATAGATCTAAGCATGCCAAATATTCTTACAAATATTTTCACTTATACTTAAATTAAGTCTCTTAAGTTTGCCAGTGATTTTCAGGGTTCTGTCCTGCTGCATTTTAAGAAATGCTGGAACATTTATGAAACTGATACAAGACAGCTGAATCCAATCAAAAGTCAACTTGATTTTGCCCTCGAAATGTAATGCACAGCTGCATGAATTGCATAAAAAGGAGGTTCAGGGCCGAAATACATTTTTTGGGTATCAAAACCCTAGAATAAATAAAATATCCCTTTTCCCAGCAACAGTCCGTTTTGTCCCTCTTTTGCTTCAGCTGCTTAAGCAGATACTTTGATTTAATAGCAGGTTTAACTACAACAAACCCAGCTTTGAGAATGATGAAAGAGCCCTTTTCTTCCGCATATTTTGAGACATATTGTTTATCGGATGCCACCTGCACCTTTATACAAATACTTCTGCCAGAATCAAAGAGTACCAGCTTAGTCTTTCAGCAAGATTGCAAAGCAGGTGAAAACGTCTATGCCTTCTCATACTACGAAGCCTCTACATCATATACAGACACACATGGGGGAGTAAAAGATTGCTCATTGAAATAAAAGTGATGCTGATTCCCATCCAGAGAGGGTGGGGGTGGGGCGGGGGTGGAGAAAGAGGCATATGCACATATAATCCAAAGGGCACAAAAGCAGAAGGCAATGAAAGTAAGTTGTGTAGCACTCACCTAGAATCATAGCGATGGAGCTGGCGTCTCTCCAGAGCTGGCTACTTCTTCGTATTTGCCCAAACACTGGTGAGTGCAAAAGAGCTCTTGCCTCTTTGAAAGCTCTGCGCTGTGCTACAGCCAGCCTGTACTACACCACCGGCCACTACCTCCCCCTTGAGCTGATACACTTACACCTCAATTAAAAGCTTAACGCTCCACTGATCAATGCCCTGAAGGAGGTAACAGCAACCATGCTTCCCCAGTCACTGGCCCAAGCAGGACAGATGGAAAAATTAGCCTCCGTAACTGCTCTCAGCAGAGGTCCATGCAAACAATGATGAAGAATTAACATCGAAATTGGATGGCAAAAAAGGAGGGGGGCTGGAAAGAGGCAGAGGGAGAAAGAGGAGACCACCCGTTTTGCTTTTCAAAAGCTAAAGAACACATAATCCCACTAAAACAAAACCTGGCTAAGTGCTTCCATGAGCAAATAAACTTTCAGCTGACAGCCTCACTCCCACCCCTACCCCCAAAAAATATCTCACATGACCTTGTTATTATTTAACATTCCCAGGCACCTTTCTATTTGAACATTTAACTGGATGCTGACTAGTCCCTCTTGAAGCTTTTTTTCATCGCTCACCTCAAATGTAAGTTGTAGCCTTAATTACTGAGGATTATGAAGCAGTGGATTTCATGAGCAATGCAAAGCAGTGCTTTTGATTCACTGGTCCAAATGTCATGTGATAGCTGGCGTAATATTTCTTTTGAGCCATGGGGTTGATAAGAGGCTGTGGGCAGGCAACACAATCTGAAACCAACCAACCTCCAAATGGGATATTGTGAATGGGAAAACTGATCCACAAGGCAGATCTAAGAATGAATGGATGAGAGAAAGGACAAAAGGAATTTTGCACATTCAAAATCCTACAATAGGATACAACTAAGGAATTTAGTTCTCTTCTGATCACACACTTGATTTCTTAACATAACTAACAAAGCTTTCTCCAACCTGGTAGCTTCTGGAACTAGAACTACCCATATTCTCTAGTTAATCAAATCAAATCATGTTGGAACTTGACATAGGGGGCAAAGTTGTTGGACTTGAATCAAGACAAGCCTCAAGGTCAGAGAAGCCATCTTATTCCAGCCTCGTCTCTGTTAATTTAATGGGGCAGATTCCTTAACTCTGCTACTGTATTTTATTCTCATTCTAGTAAGGGCCCCAAATCCACTTTTATTTTAATGGCTCTTTGGGTAAAAATTTGCTGACAATTTTCTTAGCAAGCTCAACCTACCTTAAGATTTCCTCTGCAGAGGTTGCACTGAGATACTTTACAAGCCCTAATATAAAGTCCCAGATTCTTCTTATGGCCACAGAATTCCTGAGATGGGCAATTTTAGCAGATTTAGCAATTTTCCCATTCATTTTTTGATCTCTATGCTTGGAAAATATCACTATTGTAGCTATATTTCTACAGGCCCGGTTTCTGCTAAAGCAAAACAACAATTAAATATATATTCAGGACAACAGCCCAGTATTATATTTGGGTTGAACACCTTCAGATGGTCCCTAAGTGGTTATTCAGAATTATGCAGACCAGATACAACAGCCTGCAATACAGGTAGACCCTGACTTATAACCATTTGTTTAGTGACAGTTTGAAGTTACAACTGCACTGAAAAAAGTGATATGACTATTTTTCATATTTATGACCATTGTAGCATCCCCATGGTCACATGATCAAAATTTGGATGTTTGACAATTGGTTCATATTTGTGATGATTGCACTATTCTGGAGTCATGTGATCACCTTTTGCAACCTTCTGACAAGCAAAGTCAATGGGGAAGCCAGATTCACTTAATAACTGTGCTACTAATTCAACAATTGCAATAGTTTACTTAACAACTGTGGCAAGAAAAGTCATAAAATATGGCAAAACTCACTTAAGAACTGTCTTGCTTAGCAAATGGATTTTAAAAATTTATTTATTTATTTATTTGTCGAGTTTGTATTAGATAATATATATAAGAATAAGCATGAACTGAATACATAAAGTGAATACAATTAAAGGGAACATTAGGACAGGGACGGTAGGCACGCTGGTGCTCTTATGCAGGTCCTTTACAGACCTCTTAGGAATGGGGTGAGGTCAACAATAGCCAGTCTAAGGTTAAAATTTTGGAGGTTTTGCAATGAAACCACACAGTCAGATACTGCATTCCAGGCACTGACCACTCTGTTGCTGAAGTCATAGTTTCTGCAATCGAGTTTGGAGTGGTTCACTTTAAGTTTGTATCTATTGTGTGTTTGTGTATTGTTGTGCATTGTTGGGCTCAATTGTGGTCATAAGTTGATGGCTACCTGTATAAGTCTTGCAATAAAGCTTAATTGAGTAGATATTCAGGACTACATTAAGGCACTAGAGAGTTCACACTATTTATTAACCGATAAAGTGTATTTGCCCTAAAACATTTTCTCAAGTGATCTATTTTCCTTGCTGCTCAAAAATGTCTGCCACTTGTCATGATTCTCTTTCAACATATCCAATCTCTTGGTAGACCCTCTGAAAGCAATCCATCTGGAGATTAGTTGATTTATCCAAAATACTGTTTCTCCTACCACTTAGGCCTATCACAAATAGCAGTTTCTCCAAGGTCACTTTCCCTGAACAATTATGGAGTGTGTAAAAAGAAGGAAACAGGATGAGACAAAATATTAAAAGCCAAATTAATAAAGCCAAAAGAAAGATCTTTCTGGCTTTTTCCTAGTAGAAATTATAGGAGGAATTATATGCCTATGGTACCAGGTTCCTTTTCATTTTAGGTTTTTCTCTAGATCAATGTTTCTCAACGGAGCTTTAAGTTGTGTTGATATCAACTCTCAGAATTCCTCAGCTGGCTATGCTGCCTTGAATCTTGAATCGGTCTCTATAAGTGGAGAATTCAAAGTCAGAATAAAGACTCTGGATTTTTATGGAGGGAATAACACATAAAGAGAGCAAGTATTTCTGCATAAGAAGTCTAAGGTGCCACTGTATCTTTTTTAAAAATAGCGGTGAACTTATTTTAAAAGGTATGCTGCTATTATTAATAAGGGCAATAAAAGAGGTAAGCCAACAGATTTCTTCATTTGCTCTATATCCTACTTGAAAATCATATCTGCACACCTACATCTTAAATATCTCCCATGGAATCTCTATTCAGACTGAATTACTTGGTATTTGAAAAACTTAACTGCTTTGAAGAAAAACATGTGCTTTTGTTCAATTGTAGATGATGCTGGTATGTGACACAAGGGCACCACAGAAAAAAAAATGCTTTTGTAATTAAAGAAAAAAGTTTCTGCTAAAAAAACAACCTGCATTTCAGCTACTCATGGTTTTTAGAGGTACTTTTCTGTTATAAATAATACACATATGTACTGTGTTCCCCTGAAAATAAAATCCTGTCTTATATTTTTTTGAACCCCGAAATAATCGCTTGGCCTTATTTTCAGGAGGTCTTATTATTTTGGGGCGTGTGAAGCAAGATGGGGCTCCTCTTGCTATCTTACCTGATTTCCAGCTCTGCTGGAAATATTTTCGGGGAGGGCTTATTTTCGTGGGGGAGGCTTATTTTAGTGCATGTGCTCAAAAGCCCGATTGGGCTTATTATCAGGGGATGTCTTATTTTTGGGGAAGTAGCTTTCTGAGCAGTACAGTAGAAAATTATAAATGAATAAAATATTTTTAGATTGTAATTGTATGGTTATGACTTATCATAAATAATGATCAAGACACAAAGCTTATCTCAAGATAAATGCATATTGATTATATCGTATAGTAGTTAACTTGGAACAACCAAACTACACAGCCACTCCTGCTGAATTTACTTCTCTATGGAGATCTACTGTGCCAAATGCTTAGCAATTGTGTAGGGCCCAAATGGAAAAGGAAGTGTCTGAAGGGATTTCCATCTTTACAGTTTGAGTGTTAGCCTATGTAAGTCCTCTGAATGGCAAAGTAGTATCAGAACAAAACAAAAAGCAAATAGACATTGCACTCATTTTTGTCTGTGTCTGTGTGTTCTTTTTACTTATATATAAAAAGGAAGGATAATGAAATTTACTTAAGTTTAAAACCTGTCTCCTCCCTACTCTTAGACTGGGGGAAGGGGGAAATGGATTTTTTTTTTAAATAGAAGCATTCACTTCTCTTATCAGATAAAACTACTGGGCCAGCCAACTCTCCTTCTCTTAATTACATACCCGCCTAGCCAGCTAACGGATGTGGAGCAGGTTGCTGAAAGGCAAACATTCCTTGGTTATGAATGAAAAGCTTGTACAACCAAAACCAAGATAACTTGAAAGGCAGTTGAGCCCGTCATCATCTCTACATTTTGTCTGTTTCAAACTTTCCCAACCTGGCAGCCTCTAGATTTTTTTGATTACACTGCTATCGTCCCAGTTAGGATAACAAAAAAGCTTCTGGCTGAGAATGATGGGAATTGTAATCTAACACATCTAGGAGAACCAAATAAAATAAAATAAAATAAAAATCTGTCTGCATCTGATGGAAGTACCACATTGAGGAAGGATAATCTGTAAAACAAGGTACATGGATTTCTCCCCAGAAAAAAGTACCCTGCTCTCCAGAAAAAGGGGCTATTATCTTAGGATAAAAACTAAATCCAGTAACTGTGAGTAATCATAATGCTTACCCTAAATATCTCTTTAATTTCTTTTGCCCCTAATGTTTTACAGATTTCTCTTCCTATCAGTATAGATTTGTTCAAATTAAGATAAAGTTAACAGACATGAGAAGAGGACACAAAGTTGATTCTATAGTGTAAAAAAGTTTTAAAAGTTTTTTTTCAGAGCAGAGTAGTGGTGGGTTGCCCCCGGTTCGCACTAGTTCTATAGAACCAGTGGTAAAACCGGCGGGAGACTCCGCCCACCGACCCCGACGTGACCAAAATGCTTCTGCGCATGCGCGCGGCCCCGTTGCAAACCGGTAGTAAAGGTAAGTAGAACCCATCCCTGGAGCAGAGCCTTTTAATGTTATTAATGCACTTTTTGCAATTAGTTAGAAACAATATAAAATGGAGATTCCACTATCTTATGATGTTGATCAATCAAATTAAACAAAATTTTCAAACAATAGATGTTTTCTCCTTTGTAGAAGGAAACCTGTGACTCTATTGAATTATTTTTTTAAAAAATCAGCATAAATAAGGAATGGGAAAAACATAGGGAGGCAATACACAAACACTGGAATGCTAAAGATTGTAAATGATATTATATGGAATTATTAATAGAATTTGATTTCCATGAAATTAAAATAAAACATGGTAAATTGTAGACAAAAGAGCAAGTATGGTAATTCCACAAAGTATTCATAAGAAACTTTCTCTCTTTTCATGTATATGAATTACAACTCCTATCACCCACAGCCAGCATGATCATCCATTGTGCTCAGCCGGTGGGGGGGAGCTGTTAGGGTGATGGCAATTGTAATACATCTGGTTAGCAAGACTGCTCCATATTAAAAGTCAGTAATGTAATTTCTGTTGTCCCTTTCCTTAGCAAAATGCAATGGATATGTCTGCTTCCCTTCTGTTTGTCTCCTATCCTCACCAATTTGAT